ACCACCAAGTGGCAAACAAATCAAATCCACACCGGAGTCTCGGCCAAAAATAGTCAGTGGACACTTCAAACACACTAACGAAGTAGTCACTGAACCAATTGAGGGAGTTTCAATAGTCATCCGCCGCTCAAGAGTAGACGGAACCAATCCTAACCTCTTCACACAATCAACAGAGAGAAACGAGTGGGTCGCACCCGTATCAATCATAGCAGTCAAAGGAATGTTATTGATAAAACAAGTACCTTTGATCAGACGCTCTTCATTCGCCGACTGAGTTCCCACCACTGCAAACACTTTACCGCTAACCTGAGGTGCTTGAGTCCTCCTCGGTTTCTCACAATGAGTACTAATATGGCATTTCTCGCCGCAGTTATAACAAGTAGGCATACTAGTCCTGCAATCCGCCATCACATGGTCCGGCTTCCCACACTTGAAACACTTCTTCGCTTCATGAGGACAATCACTACCACGATGCCCCACGACACTGCACCGATAACATTTCAAATCCACCGATGATTTCCTTTCTCTGAACCTCTTATCAGCCACATCCTTCTACTTTCCTTTATCGGTCGGCACATTGTAAGGTGTACCACCGAACCTCTGTTTACCCTTACGGTCGTTCACCGCCTTGTAGTGCGCGATCCTCACACGGTTATCATTGTCATAAATCCGGCTTCTACTCACCAACTCAGGATAACTCCTGATCTTCTGACACGCGATCCCCGTCTTGATCTCCGACCTCAGCCCATTCTCAAACTTCAGACGCTTAGAAGTCATGGCCTTGTCAGTATTGTAGTGGGGACAATACTGAGCCAATTCCTCAAACTTAGCCGCATACTCGGCCACCGACATATTGCCCTGCCTCAATTCCAGAAATTCAACCTCTTTAGCACTCCTGATATCCTCCGAAAAATACTTTTCCAGAAAACCCGTTCGAACCACCTCCCAAGTAATCAGAGTTCCCGAAGCCTCCAACCTCTGGCGACAGTTGTCCCACCAAGCTTTAGCTTCTCCCTCTAACATGTGAGTACCAAATCTCACCTTCTGCTCATCGCTGCACCCCATGGTCCTGAAGATCTTCTCTATCGCCTTCAGCCACTTCTGTGCAGCTTCCGGATCCAAAATCCCACCTTCAAACTTTGGTGACTTGTTGCTCTGGAACTGCGTCAAGTCTCTGAACTGAGCACCTGCAACCAGATTCTGATTGGCCACCACCTGTGCTATTGCTTGCATAGCTGCAACCAACGCAACATCATTCCTCCCCGCCATACTGCTCAACAACCACAACAACAGGTTAACGGAAAACAACCAAACTCTATCATACAGACAGACTCAACTACAACACTGGCCGGACGGACCGACCTGCTCTAATACCAACTTGTAAAACCCCGTTTCCCAAAATAAAATAAAACAATCAATACAGCAATCATCAGAGTTTTCCCCAAAAATGGGATGTCACATTTTCACCAAATTCCCACAGAAACGATTCTTTAAAATGGTTTTCAACAGAAATTGCAGCGGAAAAGAAATCTGTCATAAACATAAGCATGTATATATACATCACCAACATCATCATGTACAACCAGTCGGCCATCTGCCCAAAATATACAAAATATCATCCTCGTAGTCAATAAAACAAGCTACGCCACAAGGGCACACCAAACATCAACTAAACACAAATACTCCCAAAAGCCCCGGTGTTACGTATCAGAGCAGTCCCTACAACATCGCCACAACCCAAGCTAGCTAAACACCTGGATTGTCTGTACCCCCGAAGAAGCACAGACCACAACAACAACAAATGGGTGAGAAATCACGATCAAATATAAACGGTATAAATGCACATGAAATAAAAGGTAGAAACACATAAACATCATTTCATACACATCGAATCCGAACCTACTGTCCCATGCCAACACAACATACATACAACAAATGCAACACATGCAACTCGACTCAACAATATGCGGTACCGACTTAACTCAGGATAGATCGCATACACTCCGTCTAAGCAACGATCTATCCCTACTACGCTCCTCCTGAGCCCATATAATCAAATCTCAGGATAAATCACATACACTCCATCCGAGCAACGATCTATCCCTACCAACGTTCCCCACTTGGAACACGGATGAATCGCGTACACTCCATCCGAGCAACGATTCAACTCCCGTCCACGCTCCCCAATTGGAGCACGTGAGTAAATCACATACACTCCACCGAGCAATGATTCACCACGTCCACGCTCCCCACTTGGAGCACGTGAGTGAATCACATACACTCCACCGAGCAATGATTCACCACGTCCACATGCTATGCAGACCCCATGCACAATAACACAACACTCACGATGCACACGATCCTACTGATCCACTCATTACAATAGTATATAAACGCAACGCATATAAAGCGTATCGATCCTACTAATCACAATTTATCATATATCGAACATGCCTCACCCATCACCACAGACATACATCGTAACATAAACCAAATCAATTATCAAAATCACACGGATATCACAGAATCACGTCCCGACACCATACATACACTCACCACAGCTCACTAATAAGCTCATCACCAAACATGACCAACAAAGGTCCAAAACCACAAAGAAATCAACACAGAACAGCAGCAAAAAACAAATTGATGTCGGGCTCGCTGGCGCATTCGCCTGGCGAAACCAAACAGAGGCTACTAGCAGCATTCTCTGCCCAGTTCGCCTGGCGAAGGCTCGCCCCCCTCATTCGCCCAGCGAATACCTGCGTTTCCAGAAAAAATTCCCCACAGCAGAAACAATAACTCTTCCCAATTTCGCCCGATTTCACTACAACCCGCTTCTAACATGATGTACCAATATAATACGACTTAACTACGAAGTCTATACCGAATTCCACCCGATAACAACCTAGTCTTACTGTTCGGACCAACTTCAACTTAAAACGGTAATCTACCAAAACCCCAAGTTCATCCGAACAACGCATGCAACGATTTCTAACCCAATGATCACCCTCAAAACAAAATTAACAACATGCAACAACATCAATTCGTCATCAATCATGGGGATTAGGGAATTTCCCCTTTCTACCACATATTCATGTATATACCAATTTAACCGATCAATTTCCCCTACCTCAAATGCAGTTCTGATGATGAATCTTCGACAATCAACAACTTTGATCGTCCTCCTCTTGCTCAAGCTTCAGACCTCTTTCTTCCTCTTCACCGTCTCAAACGCGTGCTTCTCCTTCACAACCGTGTTCTTCTCTTCCTTTTTTCCCCAAATGCCACAAATGCCCTTAGTTCCAAATAATCTTCTTATTATTATTCCACTTAATTCCATAAATAATATTTCCACATTTTCTTTATTCCAAAAATTCCAATAATAATATTTTACTCATATATTAATATTAGTAACAATAATAATAATAATAATAATAATAATTAATAACAATAATATTAACATTACTATTAATTATCACACTATTATCACTATATATTAATAATATGATCCTCGGTTCTCAAATAATTCCACAAAAACACGTCAACAGATAAAAATAACACCGAAACTAAAAATAATTAAAATGAGCGTTACATCTTACGTGGCGTAGTGAAGACCAGGACGTGGTCTTCGCCCTAGTTCAACTGTCCCGTGATCTCCGGAAGCTGGATTTAACCTGCTCTTTCGGAGGTGAGCAGTTAGTTGGTGACGTGTCCCCACGGAGGGGAGCACGTGGAGAATGTGTGAAGGACACGTTGTCCTGCCCGACGGGAGAATAGGTTCTGCCCGTGGAGAGGGCAGTGTTTGGTCGATGTGGGAGTCTCGTGCTCGACGTATCTGAGGCAGGTTCTGCCCGCGGAGGGGCACTTCCTGCTCGTCGGGGATCCTGTGCTCGACGCTGCGGCCCAAACTGCACTGGGCTTGACAGAATATTACTGGGCTGGGCCGGCGTGTCCAAGCCGGGGCCCAGCCAGAACACATAATATCATAGAAAATAAGATATGTAATGACAATGTAAAATAATTTACACTGTCAATCAATCATCATCATCTATCCGGCCACATCATACTGTAAATTTTAAATTATTGATATGATATGGCAAATTGACGAATCTCTATTGAATGATAATGTAAAATTATTTTATATTGTTAGTGCATATCAATTATATATATATATATATATATATATATATATATATATATATATATATATATATATATATATATATATATATATATATATATATATATATATATATATATATATATTATTTTTAATATAAATTTTATAACATAATTAAATATTTGATATTAAAATAATAGTGATTAAATTATTTTTTTAAAAAATATTTAAAAGAATAAAAAGAAACGACATATTATTTTTAATTTTATAAAAAAATATTGGATAATCCATTACCCAATTCAATCAAATTCATAGAGTTACAGATTTACACAATCTCATTCATAATATTGTCTGTGATTATTTTAAATTACTCAAATAGATATAGTCTATATGATTTGGGTAGATCAAATAAATCTATCCTCTTGGTCAATGAATACAATTTCTTTTTGTCAGTCTTTAAAGGCAAAAACATTATATTTTATTTTACATTTATGATTTAGAAAGAAAAAAAAAACTCACTAATAAAAATATCATTATCTTTGATTATTTTGTTATATTAGGTTATGTAAAAAAGAACTTATACTGCATTCTTGTTTGTAATAATTCTAATATTTTTACAAAACAGCGTTCGGTATAGTTCAGTTGACCCACCGCTCATCAGATCTGCAAGGTTAGACATAGCTCCCCGCGCGTAAGAACCACGCATCGAAATGTCATGACTCGTGAGCCGGTGACTACCCTACAGACTCAACAGCGATAACCGGTAACCGGTAACCTGATTGTTTCGTATTCGAGGTCTTCCCTGCAACCGAAACCGAAATAGTCCATCGACTCATCTTCGTGAACCCTCTCAACACAATGACCAGCTGTTGAGGCAATGAATCCTCCCATCAGTTCCTCAATCTCGTCGCCTTCATCTTCCTCTTCTCCCGCCACCTCCTGGTTATCCGGAATCGTTCGAGTCCGCCGTACGCCGCCCATTTTGAATATGTCAGGTAACTCCGCAGTTGCCGTCTCCGCTTCTGCAGATGTTACCGGTCCCGTCGTCCACAAAAATCAACTCCGAGGAGCTCTTTTCAAATACGGTCCAAATCCTATTCAGGTCCGTTACTTACTTTGTTGTTTTCTTCAATTTTCGTTTCTGATCTGATTTTCTCGACGTTGTTTAAATTGATTGCAATTCAACACCCGATCAAGTATAACAAGATTAATATTAGCCACTTGAAGCATGCAATGAAACTTATCTAGGTGTTTAAATCTGAAAGTTTTGGAAGTTTTGAAGTTATTCTAAAAGTTATGGAGATTGTATTTCAACTTCAAGATTTGGGGTTGTAATTGTATTTTGTTCTTTTGTTAATAACTCTAGGTGCCACTGCCATTGGTTCTATGAAGCTCTAACACATACACTAGGCATTACATTGACTTTGGCATGTAGACACAATAATAATTTAAGAAAATGGAAATGATTGTATGCAATCTCATATGTCAACATCACGTTGTTGTCAGATGCCAACACATGTCATACATGCCAACACATGTCATACATTGAACACTCCTTCAATCGGACATGTTAGCGCCACATAACAAATAATAACATTTTTCTTTATTGCTTCTGCACTTTTAAAATCCTCTTTTCCCTCATTAGGTATTTCGTGAACTGCATTGTGATAAATTCTTTTATTTGCAGGTTGCCTTCAAAAGTGGCGAATTCAAACGACAAGTTATTTTTATTGGTGGATTAACAGATGGGTTTCTTGCTACCGCGTAAGTTCAATATTTCATAATTTTTTGACATTGAATATAATCTAAAACAATTTTTGGTTGACTGTATGTCATAGATGAACGAAGCAAGTGTGAATTTTTCAAGCATGTGAATTCTTAGTATAAACCTTCAATATTTTTATCAAACCCGTGAACATGTGATTGTGAAAAAAACAAGCCTGTGTTATAGAATATTTGCCATGGCAGCGCTATGACAGATATATGTGGTGGTTTTTGGACTTGCCGCAATGGTAAGTAACCGCCGCTATTGCGGGTTTTTCCACCATAACATGCTATGACAGTGCCACCATGCGGTTGGTATGCTGGATTTTGGCTCTCCTCCATGGACTGCAATATGCCATAGACAACACTCCCACTAGCTTGCAAATATTAGAAGAAATATAAGCCACCGTAACACATTTGTGCACGAGCTTTGTTATAGTCTTTTGACCTTGTTGTGAGTATAGTCTCAACAACAACGATCAAACTTTATCCCACTAAATGAGGTCGACTATATGGATCAAACTACGCTATAATGTTCTATAAAAAATCATGTTTCTATCTAACTTTCTTAATCTCATTGTATTTTCTAATAGTTTCTCTTATAGTTTTTCTAGATTTTCCTCTATCTAGATGTTTGACTACCCTTCATCCGACATACTCTCCTTACTACATATTCCAGAGATCTTCTCTCTACCTGCCCAAACTGCATAATCCTATTTTACACCATCTTTTCTATTATGAGTGTTAACTCAACACTGTCTCTAATGTTGTCATTTCTAATCTTATCACGTCTAGTCTTGTCACACATCCAACACAACATCCTCATCTTTGCTACATTTATTTTATTTTCGTGTTGATTCTGTCTCGTACAACATCCCTTATCTTACAGTTGTATGATAGAACTTTCCTTTCAGTTTGAACTGTACTTTCGTGTCACATAAAACACATGAGGCCCTCCTACATTTCAACCACCCAATTTAAATTCGATGGTTTACGTTTCCTTCTATTTCTATATTATTTTGTATTATGGATTCAATATATTTAAACCATGTAACTTGTGGTATGATATGATCTCCAACTTTCACCTTTAGGTTAGAAATACTTCTCCTTTTGCTAAACTTACATTTCATATATTTTGTCTTACTTCTGCATAGGCGAAGCCATACACTGCTAAGACTCGTTTCCAAGTCTCCAAACTCATTTAAATCCTCCATTGACCCTCCAAGTAGAATTATATCACATGCAAAAAATATGCATTTCGGTGCTAACTCTTGGATGTGTTTCGTAAGTACATCCAAAGATAAAGTAAAAATGTAAGAGCTTAGGGTTGAACCTTGGTGCAATCCTATTGTCATGGGAAAATTGTCCGTCTCTCCCCCTTCTGTCCTCACACTAGTCACACTAGTCGAGACCCCCTCATATATATCCATATCCTTTATAGCTCGAATATAGGCAATCCTCACACTAGTCAAGACCCCCTCATACATATCCATTTCCTTTATAGCTTGAATATGGACAATCATACTGTTGTGAGTATCGTCATTCAGAAAAAATTCTTATTTGTGATGATATATACAATTGTGGCCTGCTTCTAAACCTGTTCTGTGTCTCAAATTTTCTTCATTTATCTCTGTTTCATTCTCAACTTTAGTTTGGTTTTCTATGGAAGCAGAATGCTATGTTCTTTTCATGTGGGCTTCATTCAAACACCAAATTCTTCTGGTTAGGGTTCAAACATAAGACCAAATGTCCTTTCTTATAAGAGTTTTGTTATTGCTTTGATTTGCTTTGCTTAAGACCTTATGTGCTGTTTTTAAATATTTGATGATGGACATGATTGAATCAAAGACAAGAGATAAAATTGTTGAATAAAATGCTGGTTTTAAGTATGCAAAAGAAGTCCTTGTAAAACATGTTAATTGTTACCCTTTTGCCACTTCTCATTGAGTTTATTCCCACTGTATTGACTTAAAAAACGTGTGATAATAACCATCCAGTATCCACAAGTTAATTTTTATTTTATGTTATTAATAGCTACTTATTGTAATGAATTTTATAAATAAATGAATTATTTGTAATAAAGTGAAACACTAAAATTATAATTTATTTGTAAGTTACAGATTTATTGTTTTAACTTTTGCAAGTATGGCTTGTTAATTTAGAGTACAGAGGCACTGAAAACTGCTGCTTTATTGATTGATGCGTTCAAGAAATAACAAAGATTGCAACTGCTAAATAGAATTGAGAACCACTAATAATATATTCCTAAAATTCAGCACCCACTACTAACTCAATCAAATATCCCTAGAGCATTTTTAATGGGAGTAAACTAAATGGGTAAACTAAGATACTTTTTGTGGGTCCAAAGTGATTTGTAGGATTTAAAATATTTAGAGTTGATTTGAGTTGTTTTTACTTTAATGATGGTTGCTTGTAAAAAACCAAAACTTGACCCACATTTTATAGTTGTTGGAGCTTTATTGATATTTTAATAATATAAAACAATAATAAAATAATAATAAAAGTCATTGAGAATGGATAGTGTGCGTTGGTTATATAGTTTACTCCCACTAATTGTTAGTTCACTTAATGCTATGTCATTCTTATTCCAATGCAAATTGCTTATAACTACCCTTACTATTAAAGAATTTAATACTACAGAACTTGCACTAAAATGCTCTAAAGACTAGGACAAACTCAAAACAAATCAGTTACAAACATAAATAATATAATAAATTAATATTTCTAATATTCTCCCTTGAACTGAAAGTTTTCAAACATTCAATTTATCACACACGCCCAACAATGCCTTGAGTTTCTGAAATGTAACCACCCTCAATGGCTTTGTAATTATATCAACAATTTGATCTTCACTTCTGCAGAAGTTCAATTGCTCCATCCTTTGTGAGATTCTGGATAAAATGAAATTTCACGTCTATGTGCTTGCTTCTTCCATGTAAAACATGATTTTTGGACAGTTTGGTAGCTGAACTGTTGTCGCAGTAAATTGTAGTAGCATCAACTTCCCTTTCCTGCACAAAATTCAGCCCTTCAAGAATCCTCCTCAGCCAAATTACTTGGCAAGCACATGCTGTTGCAGCAACATATTCTGCTTCGATAGTTGATAGAGTGACTATCTCTTGTTTCTTTGAAGACCCTGAGATGACTCTAGAACCCAGCATAAAGACATAGCCAGAATTACTCTTTCTATCATCCATATCTCCAGCATAATCACTATCTGTATAACCAATCAAATCTGTTTTTTTTTTCTTGTAAAAATTTCCAAAACTAGCAGTACCTCGCAAATACCTAAGAATTCTCTTTGCAGCCAAGAGACGACTCTCCTTAGGATTTTCCATATACCTGTTGGTCAAACTTACAACATACATAATATCAAGCCTTGTTCCTGTTAGATATATCAAACTCCCCACAATTTACTTGTAAAGATGGTTGTCAACGTTCCTTTCATCCGGATTTCGAACAGGCTTCCGCCCTACTTCAGTAGGTGTAGCGGATTGCATTTTGACATCTGGAATCTGTCTAAAATTTCTTTCACATATTTCTTTTGTGAGATAAAAATGCCAGCTGCAATCACCTCATAAATGGCTGGCAATGAACCAAACCAACTCGAAGATAGTTCGGAATTCGACTCGACAATTAAATCGTTGAACTAGGTTCATGAACCAAATGAGTTGAGTATGAGCAAAAAATTAAGTTCGTTAACTAAATGAGCTGAACTTGAACTATACATAGTTCGACTCGTTAGGTTCATGAGTCAACTCGATTACATATGAAAAGAATTATACTATCTTTAAGATTAGGTTTAAATATTTACTTCAAATCTTAGACAAATTTAATCTTCAATTTAGTAGTTTTTGAATTAGACTCTCAAATGTATCTCTTGAAAGTTGTGTAGGTTTTGAATTAGTAGATTTCGAAGATAAAGTTAAATTTCAAGATGATAACTTTTATTTTATTTTAATATTTTATTTAAAATATATATATTTATTTAAAATGTCAAATATACTAAAAAATATATATATTTAAAAAAATAGTTTTTAAGTTCGTGAACCATGTGAGATGAACCTAATGAGATGAACCTAACGAGTCGAACCGAACTGTTCGTGAACTTATAACGAGTCGAGTTTGAGCTTAAAAAAAAGTTCGTGTTAAACTCGAACTCGAACTCGAATTCGAATAATTCTTAACGAGTCGAGCCGAGCTGAGGTGAGTTCGACTCGACTCGACTCATTTCCAGCCCTACTCATAATCAATGTGAGGTGATTGGAGTAAATGAATCCCATGGCCTTTGAAGAAGCTATTAAGGAATCAAAGTGGAAAAAAGCAATGGATGAAGAAATTGCTTCTATTGAGAAGAACAGCACTTGGGAGTTGGTGATCTTCCACAAGGGCAAAAGACAATTGGGTGTGAAATGGGTGTATAAGACAAAATTCAAGGAAGATGGAGAAGTTGACAAGTACAAGGCACGGCTTGTCGCTAAAGGTTACAAGCAAGAGTTTGGGGTGGATTATACTAGAGTATTTTTTCCAGTTGCAAGACATGATACAATTAGAATGGTGGTTGCTTTAGTTGCACAAAACTCATGGCCCATCTTCCAATTGGATGTAAAATCAACATTTTTACATGGTGATCTGAAAGAGCAGGTGTTCATTGATCAACCTCCTGGATACATGAAGTTCGGATGTGAGGCCAAAGTCTATAGACTAAATAAGACTTTGTATGGATTAAAACAAGCGCCACGTGCTTGGTATAGCAGAATTGAAGTTTATTTCCTGAAGGAAGGTTTTCAAAAATGTCCTGTTGAACACACTTTTTGTGAAAAGTGGGGAAGGAAGAAAATTGTTGATTGTGTGCTTGTATGTGGATGATTTGATATATACTGGAAATGATCTCAGCATGTTTGAAAGGTTCAAGCAATGTATGATGTTGGAATTCGACATGTCTGATCTTGGCAAAATGCACTATTTTTTTGGCATTGAAGTGGTGCAGTCTGCAGCTGACATTTTTATCTCACAAAAGAAATATGTGAAAGAAATTTTAGACAGATTCCAGATGTCAAAATGCAATCCTGCTGCTACACCTACTAAAGTAGGGCTGAAGCTTGTTCGAAATTCGGATGAAAGGAACGTTGACAGCCATCTTTACAAGCAAATTGTGGGGAGCTTGATGTATCTAACAGAAACAAGGCCTGATATTATGTATGCTGTAAGTTTGACCAGCAAGTATATGGAAAATCCTAAGGAGAGTCGTCTCTTGGCTGCAAAGAGAATTCTTAGGTATTTGCGAGGTACTGCTAGTTTTGGAATTTTTTACAAGGGGGAAAAAACAGATTTGATTGGTTATACAGATAGTGATTATGCTGGAGATATTGATGATAGAAAGAGTACTTCTGGCTATGTCTTTATGCTGGGTTCTGGAGTCATCTCATGGTCTTTAAAGAAACAAGAGATAGTCACTCTATCAACTACCGAAGCAGAATATGGTGCTGCAACAACATGTGCTTGCGAAGTAATTTGACTTAGGAGGATTCTTGAAGGGCTGAATTTTGTGCAGGAAAGGGAAGTTGACAACAGTTCAGCTACCAAACTGTCTAAAAATCCTGTTTTACATGGAAGAAGTAAGCACATAGACGTGAAATTTCATTTTATCCAGAATCTCACAAAGGATGGAGCAATTGAACTTCACTACTGCACAAGTGAAGATCAAATTGCTGATATAATGATAAAGCCATGGAGGGTGGTTACATTTCAGAAACTCAAGGCACTGTTGGGCGTGTGTGATAAACTGAATGTTTGAAAACTTTGAGTTCAAGGGAGAATATTAGAAATATTAATTTATTATATTATTTATGTTTGTAACTGATTTGTTTTGAGTTTGTCCTAGTCTTTAGAGCATCTTTAGTGCAGGTTGTGTCGTATTAAATTCTTTAATAGTAACGGTAGTTATAAGCAATTTGCATTGGAATAAGAATGACATGGCAGTAAGTGAACTAACAATTAGTGAGAGTAAACTATATAACCAACGCACACTATCCATTCTCAATGATTCTTATTATTATTGTTTTATATTATTAAAATATCAATAAAGCTCCAACAACTATAAAATGTGGGGTCAAATTTTGGTCTTCAGAAATGCAAAGTGTGTGAGTTGACCTTCTGATTCATTTACTCCAATCACCTCATAATCAATCATCCAACCAGGCCTTCTTTTATCACGCCGAGGACGAGTTTCTGAAGTTGATGTTGCTGGTGAGCCAAGAATCTGCACAGAACTATCAGCTGCTGGTTCTGCGGGTTGCTGTTGCACTGTGGACTGGTGCTGCACACTTGAAGTTTCAAGCTGCTCATCTTGAATTTCATCAAAATCCATCAGTTTCTCTTGATGCACAACAACACTCTTATTCTCTGCCCAAAAATTTTGTTCATCAAATATCACATCACAGCTAATTATAATCTTTTTAGTGATAGGATTATAAAGCTTATATGCTTTTGACTGATCACTAACACCAATAAAAATACACTTTACCCCCTTGTCTTCAAGTTTTGTTCTTCTCTGATCTGGTACATGAGCATAGGCAATACACCCAAAAATTCTGAAGTGATTGACAACTGGTTTGTTTCCACTCCATGCCTCCTCAGGAGTCATGTTTTGAACAGAAAAAGTCGGACTTCTATTTAAAATGTGGACGCTCCAATTCACTGCTTCGGGCCAAAAAGTTTTAGAGATTCCACTTCTGTTTAGCAAACTTCGGACCATGTTAATAATAGTGCGATTTTTCCGCTCGCAAACACCATTTTGCTGAGGACCTGAGGTGAATATGCTGCTGTAAGTTGCCTTTGAATTCCATGATTCTCGCAAAACTTTGTGAATTCATGTGTTGTATACTCTCCACCACGATTTGTACGCAGAACTATAATCATGCAGCCACTTTCCTTTTCAACAGACACTTTGAATGTCTTGAAAACATCAAATGCTTCAGATTTTTCTTTCAAAAAATAAACCCATGTCTTCCTACTGAAATCGTCAATGAAGGTAATGAAGTACCGTTTACCTCCATTCGAGATTGGATTTAGAGGGCCACATATGTCCGAATGAACCACCTCTAGCACTTTCTTGGCTTTGATGGATTTTCCAGATGGAAAAGAGTCTCGGTGCTGCTTGCTGACAGCACAATCTTCTCAAATCTGAGTTGGAGGTGCGATTTTCGGAAGGCCTATCACCATATTTTTCTGCCGCAACGTTTTCAATCCTCCAAAATTTAGATGACCATAGCGAAAATGCCATAACCATGTTGAGTCTTGAATCTTTGCTGAGAAACAAGAACCGGTGGATTTGTGCAGATTTAACGGAAACAACCGATTATCTGTCATTTTAACTTGAGCAATCAACCCTAATTTTTCGTCTTGAACCCGACAAACACCATTCTTGATCAGAATCTCATACCCTTTTTCTTGAAGTTGTCCTAGGCTAATCAAGTTGGTCTTCAATTCTGGGACAAAGAAGACATCATAGATCTTGTGACTTTTATTTCCCTTGGCCTTGAAAATAATATTGCCCCTTCCAGCAACATTTATTTTGGAGTTGTCACCGAACTTGACGGTGCTCAGAAAAGACTCATCCAAATATGAAAATATCGTCTTATCACCGCACATGTGCTTGCTGCAGCCCGTATCCAAATACCACAGATTATCTGGAATTTCCTCAGTCACATTGCACACCATCAAGAGAGATTCCTCTTCTTCTCTTTCTGCAAAGTTGGTCCTTTCTCCATTTTGGCCATTCAAGTTGGTTCTACATTCATTTTGATAATGACCATATTTGTGACACCGATATCACTCAACATTAGATTTTGGACGATAATTGTTTGAATGATTACCTCCACGATAGTCACCTCGACCTCTTCCTCTTCCTGAGTTGTCTAAATTCTGGTGGTTGGCAGGATTGTTACTATGGTTGCTGCTACGACCATTATCGCCTCTACCGTAACCACCTCGACCTCTTCCTCTGCCCCTGCCTCGGCCTCCTATAAAATTAGAGATATTTGAATAAGTCGAGGCTTTAAGTGCATGCTCCTCTTTGTCTTGTTTGCTGATTTTGTTCTCATGAACCAACAAGGAGCTTTGCAATTCATCAATCGTGAGTGAGTCAATATCTTTGGATTCTTCAATGGAGCAAACAACAAAATTGAACTTTGTTGTCATTGATCTAAGAATCTTCTCAATAATGGTCATATCCTCAATCTTGTCTCCATGAATTCTCATTTATTGGCGATGATCATTGTTCTTTCAAAGAAATCTTCTCAATAATGGTCACATCCTCAATCTTGTCTCCATGACTTCATGCGTAACGTCTCAAATTCACTCCGTAGGGCTTGGAGCTGCACTCGTCTTGCCCTAGCGTTCCCTTGAAATTTCTTCTTCATTGAGTCCTAAATCTGTTTGGAGGTTTCTTTGCTGAGAATCGTCTCCAAAGTTGCTCGATGTATGGTGAAACAAGTAGTTCTTGGCTTTAAGATCCTTGAGTCTCAATGCCTCCAATTCTGCCTTCTGCGTATCTGTTTGAAATGCAACCTTCGCAGGCTCTGTAAATCCGGAGTCAACAACTTGCCAATATTCTTTGGATCTCAAGAAATTCTCCATTAACATGCTCCAGTGGTCATAATGACCATCAAAACGAGGAATTGCAGCCTGCACAAAATTCTCATTGGAAGATGCCATCGATCAATTGATGTTTTCACTCAAATCTCACTGTGTTTCACTCAAATTTTTCTCTAAATTAACTTGCTCTGATACCACTGTTAATTTAGCGTACAGAGGCACTGAAAACTGCTGTTTTACTGATTGATGCGTTCAAGAAATAACAAGGATCACAACTGCTAAATAGAACTGAGAACCACTAACAATATATTCCTAAAATTCAGCACCCACTACTAAGAGCATCTTTAGTGGGAGTAAACTAAATGGGTAAACTAAGATACTTTTTGTGGAACCAAAGTGATTTGTAGGATTTAAAATATTTATAGTTGATTTGAGTTGTTTTTACTTTAATGATGGTTGCTTGTAAAAAACCAAAACTTGAACCCATATTTTATATTTTAATAATATAAAATAATAATTAGAGTCATTGAAATTTGATAGTGTGCGTTGGTTATATAGTTGCCGAAGACTAATTGTTAGTTCACTTAGTGCCATGTCATTCTTATTCCAATGCAAATTGTTTATAACTACCCTTACTATTAAAGAATTTAATACTATAAAACCTGCACTAACGATGATCTAACTCAATCAAATATCCCTAAAGACTAGGACAAACTCAAAACAAATCAGTTACAAACATAAATAATATAATAAATTAATATTTCTAATATGGCCTACTTTTAAATACCAGCAATTAAGCTCTATTCCACTTGGTGTTGACAGCTTATTGTAAATTGATATATGATTTTTTAAAACTCTATTTGAAGACAAAATTACAATAAGTTGGTATTATAAGAACTTTATTTAATCGTGTATCTGATTCAGTCCCCCTGGCTGCACTGTTCCCCATTTTAAAGCTTTGCCTCTGGATATGAATCTTTGAAGAATTCTTTTCTAATGTCCATTTTCTTTTCTTGTAGATATTTAGAACCTCTGGCAATTGCGCTGGACCGCGAGAATTGGTCACTAGTTCAATTTCTTATGTCATCTTCTTATAGTGGATATGGCACTTCCAGCTTGCAACAAGTAATTAATTAAATTTTAATTTCTTGCGTGCTGTTGCTAAGTGTTGCAAACTTTCTAGTTGACATCATTTTGCTTATTTGTTTGACATGTTATGGGCTCAAAAACTTGCTTTTACTTTATATGATTTGTTTATATTGAAAATATTAAGAGTAAGCTTCCATTCAAATGTGAAATGCCTTTTTACTTTGACACATTGGACTTAGTATTTCCATAAACACGGCTTTGCAAAGGGTGATATAATACAAATGCTGGTATTGATGATTACTTTAGGTTTTGTTATACAAAACTCTGCTGTTCGTTAGTAGACCAAAACTAAGCTTGGGATTTGATATGTGAGTTACTTGAAAGATTAGCTCTTAGCCTTATAGTTTTTATTCAAGTTACACCAAAGTTGAATGACTTTATTCCAAGAATCCAGAATTTCCCAAGCATCCTATATTTCTATGCTTATGTACAATTATCAGTTCAGATCAGAGTATAATAGGAAATGAGGTAATTATGAAATAGGGACATTTAGCACGGGAAAGAATGGAATCTCAACGACAATAGAAGACAACATTTTTTACTTTTTGATCAAATTTACATAAATAATTTATTCTACTCTTCAACTAGTGACCTTCAGCATCATCTCACTACCAACAGAGTATTCAGAATGTAGTTATTTTCTTTATATCAAACAAGTGTGTAGTTATTTGTTTAATATCGCAAACTAAGTATCCTCATAACCCAGGACCATTAAATTAGCGACCATGACCTCTCAAGTAACATGCTACATCCGTTCCAAAATATAGAACCTAGTTTTCTAAATAATGAGGATTAAAAAAGTTGATAATAATCTTAAACTTGATAGCAATTGATATTGTTTCTCCAAGTTTACCCTTAATTTTTGTTGTTTACTTATTGGTTAAACAAGATGTAAAATAATTAGAGTATTTTGGTAAAGAAATAATTGCAATTGAGAATTTGAACGAGGTTATATAAGTGAATTTCTTGAGAAAATTCTACAAGGAGGTAGTATATTTGGAATATGTTACCTTATTATCATGGCCATTTAAGACCTCTCTATTCTCAAGCTTTTATGTGCTCCATTTTCATTCTAAGGTTTAAGTGAAAAGTGCAATATTAGTATTTCCATATGATTGATGAGAATAATTGTCTAGATGATTGAATTTGCAATTGCTTTTTGAATTGATGTTGAAGGATGCTAAGGATCTGGATCAGCTTATTAATTATTTAATTAACAAAGAAGATTCCGAAGGTGTGGCATTACTTGGGCATAGTACTGGCTGTCAGGTTATATTTTATTCTATGAAAATCCTGAACCAAACTTTACTTCCACACCTTTTCTTGCTATTGAAGTTTTCTGAGAAAGTTAAATAAACTTTTCTTGTTTTGATTATGTTCTCTAGGACATTGTGAACTACATGCGCACAAATTTTGCTTGCTCCCGAGCTGTTCGTGCTGCAATCTTGCAGGTACTTGTTGATAGTAGACCAGTTTATAAACTTTTTTATATAGAACCAAGTAACCTTCAGAGTACTTCTTTTGGTGGGGTATTCCTTCCCTCATGTGTTGAGTGCTATTCCAACAAAACCTGATTTACTCCTTTACATGCAAAGTACTTTACTCAAATAACATATTCTGAAGAAAATTTGTACTTATTCAATCATCAAAAAGTAAATTAGAAAATGAAAGTGTTTATAACCTAGAAAGTAAAATACCACATAAACTCAATGCATGATCTCAATAAAATTCAAATTTCCTTAAACTAAATATCCTATCAAAGATAAGATTCTGTAAAACAAGGAAAGATATTAATAACATGGATGAGACGAAAGAAAATGAGTAATAGGTAAATTGTCTTTTAAATCCTTGATAAAGTGAAAAAAGTGAATACTTTGCTGGATAAAAGAGAATAATTGATGGTCAAAGTAGGAAATATTGAATCTTCCTTTCAAAATTTGTGTTGCCTCTAATTCAGGATATAAGTTGCATTTTACTCAATGGTTTTCCTCGCGTTTTTTTTCAAAACAAGTGGAGTGTGGAGGAACAATTGCAACCGGTTATTGGGAAGCATACACATTCTTTAACATAACATGACAAGCATAATATATCGGAAACTTGAAGCGTAAAGGAAACTAATTCACACCATTCAAGTGTGTTGAAGAAGAACATATCATAAGTTGAAAATAACTTATAGACATGCCATAAGTTGTTCCCCGTAAACTATCCTAAACACTCTTAGTAGTGATTATGCCCGTAGATAAACTCAACTAAGTCAATGCTTCATATTTAGTTTTGCCATTATTTATATTTTATGCTATAGTACTTTTAACATTAATGGAATAATTTTCTATTACAAAAATAATCAAAAAAATCTTGTGTCCATAGTACAAAATGATGATGGAATAGAAGGAGATGTAAGTCATCGAACTCAAGTGGAGTGGTTGAAATGAAGCGTCCATAAAGAATACTTATGTTGTGATTTTGTTATTATTACAATTTATGTTAGTTGCTGAATGTATGTTAGGATGTCTCTAATTGTATAGAAATTATAGGAATTAGAATATTTGTATCTTTAATATTGTTTATGACTTATGTACTATATATGGAGAGTATCATATCAATGAAAAGAACACAAAATAGAAATTCTGACATGGTATCAGCAGGTTATTGATCAAACCTGTGTTTTCTTAGTTGATAATGTGTTCTCTTCGACAATACTGTTTGTCGTTTTTTTGGGGTTTAGCTCTTGTTTTGCTTTGGGTGACTCTTGTTTTGGCCCCCTTCTCTGCACTCGTTTTTTTTCCGTCGGTGTTTCTTGCTTTGGTTTTCTTTCATGGTTTTGGAAAACGAAAGAGAGAACTTTTGTGTTTGATTTACTGGGAAAAATTATCCTTCGTGGGCATTTCAATTTGAAATGTATGTGAAAGGGAAAGGAATGTTTGGTCATCTCAATGGGGCTTCAAAGGCTCCAACCGAGAAGGATGCGTTAGATACATGAGAAACAAAGGACACAGAAATTATTTCTTGGATCCTTGCCTCCATTGAGCCTCAAATGGTTAATGATTTGCGTTCCTTCTCGACTTATAAAGCCATGTGGGATCACCTAAAGGTTATATGATCGGAGTAATGCAGCGAAACTTGAACTAGATATTGCAAATTATCGACAAGGCACTCTGTCCATTCAAGATTACTATAGTTTTCTAAATTTATGGGATGAACACTCTGAGATCTTACGTGCTGATGCTCCGAAAACATCCCTTGCAGCTGTTCAAAAGATTTACGAAGTGAGCAAACGCGATCAGTTTCTTATAAAACTTCGCGCAGAATTTGAAGTGGCTCGTGCAGCTTTGCTGAACCGCAACCCAGTCCCTGATTTAGAAATTTGTGTATGGGTTTTATGCGATACAAAAGTACCGTTCAAGCTTAATGGAAAATTTTATAGTACAACTATTAGACCGACGATGTTGTATGGGACAAAATGTTGGATGCCACGCATGAATAAGATAAGCGTAGTGAAAATGGGGATGTTGTTGGATGTGTGGTAAGACTAGACATTGTAGAATTAGAAATGACAACATTAAAGAGAGAGGGAGTTGGAGTAGCGCCAATCATAGAAAAGATGATGGAAACTCGGCTTAGGTGGTTTGACCATGTAGAGAAAATACTCTTAGAATTTATACTAAGGAGAGTAGATGAGATGGAAGGTAGTCAAATCACTAGAGGCAGAAAAAGACCTAGAAAATCTATAAGAGAAACTATTAAAAAAGATCTAGAGATTAATGAGTTAGATAGAGATATGATATATGATAGAATTTTATGGTATCATTCGATCCATCCGACTCTACAAGTGGAATAAGGCTTTGTTGTTGCTGTTGTAAATCTGTATTCGTTGAGATTAATATATTGATATGATGGATTGTATGCCTGTGTGCGTATTAGTTTGCCATTGAACTGTGAATTAGTCTCCAAACCAATTTGATGACTTGCCTGGTTTCTTAGAACCTTGTATAAGGTTGAATCTGTTGCTCCTAATAATATAATTACTGTGGTTTTCTATGATTTAAAATTTTTAAGTCAGAGAGTTGAAATGTTTAATTGTAGTGTTACTCAAACCAAAATCAAGTAAAAGATGCTTAGTTTGGTCAATGTCAATGTATGACTTGTTATATCGTCTGTTCTCTCACTGAAAACTTAATTTTTCTAATTCTATTTAATTGTCCAGGCTCCAGTTAGTGATAGGGAATATCAGTCCACACTCCCTCAGACAGCTGCTATGATTGACTTGGCTGCCAAAATGATAAGTGAAGGCAGAGGTTCAGAGATAATGCCAAGGGAAGCAGATCCTACTGCCCCAATTACTGCATATAGGTGAGTGTGCATAAATGATGTATCTGTACGCATACTGAGATTTCCAAATATATGTAATCTTGGTTTTCTTTTAGAAACTAATGATGCTCTATATTAAAATAAAAATAAAACCAAATATGTTATTCAATTGTAAAATTTATTTTGCTTTTTAATTATCCATCTAAAATGGTTGTACGTATAAGAAATTCATCAGTAAGCTAGGTCCTCATAATCTCTTAGGCGCTCAAATTGTTATTATCATGTATATGACATTTTTCAAATATTAGTGTTTCCAGATGTGGGCCCAGCCCCTACAGCCTTAACACATGTGGTAGGACACCTGGGCTTTATGAGTTGCAACACAGATGACCCAATTATGTCAACACATTTTACAAGGCCCATTATCTAGAAGGTTGCAAAAGGAGAGTTAGTTAGAATATTCTCCGTGATTCTTGGGGTAGTTGGTTGTTTGAAGGAAAGCCTAAGTGAGAAGCATGAAGAATAATTGTTAGAATTTGTTAGGAGATTCCCTCGTTGATTAGGAGTTCTAGAAACTCTGGTTTATCTTTTACCATTTTCCACTATTGTAGCGTTCTAGCTCTTACCATTCAATAACATACAGTTTTGTTACCTTGATTTTATGGGCTCTATCATTTGGTCCGACCTGCCGGATTAATGAGAGGAGCTAACGAAGTCGCAGTCTCAGTCATGTCACCGGAGATGTCATCAGAAATGTTCAAATTATTGGATGTCCTGGAAGTGAGAATTGAAGTAATGGAGAACTCGTTGCCACAAAAGATGGAGGAGTTCCGTCAAATCATAATGACGAAGTTCCCAAAACTGCATGTTTCTTGTTCTTGAAGAGGTTCTCATTCTTTCTTACAAGATTCAGTTTTCAAATCTAAGACAGTGAGGAGGAAGGAAACAGATCCAGATGGAAATATGTTTGAGTGTCAAAATCTATGTACCGGTGTAGCAAGGAAAGAATAGGTGATAGTGTTTGGTGCGTGTGTCGTGACAGAGACGTTGGAGAAGAATGAAGGAAAACCGAAGGATCACAGGCTTGAGGGTCGAACAAAACCTTCCTCAGCAAAAGAAGTGGTCTAAGAAGTTACAGAAACAGCCAAAGCAATGGCAAAAACTCCCCATAAGTTTATCGCAAGGTAGTAGGAGGAAGTGAAAGTTTATGATGTGTGAATCTCACTAGTCAATCAACCTGCGACGACACTCTCACAACAAGCACTACCGCCACCAATATAACTCTAGTAAGTGGGAGAAGGTAATTAGAACGTAGGGCAGAGTAGAGCCACTTCACACGTGTGCTACTCTTACTGAGCTTGACCAAGGGTCGGGATCTGAGGCAACCCGACTGCAATGGCCAACAAGACCTCTCCATTGCTGCACTCCCCGAGCCCTACGTCGATTTCCCTGTGATCCGGCCTATGGGGTGTGGCGTCACTGTTCCCTTTGACGTGCTTGCAGTTCTCCGATAGCTCCTTCGCCTTTGAAGCAACTCAAGTTAAAGAGAAGCAAGAGGGGTACAAGTCAGGAGGAGAGGCACAAAATGTGTATTGTATTGCATAGTTTTCTGTAATAGAATTTGGAACAGGTGGTGCAGGTCATATGGAAGATACTTAGGCATTTGAATACTGGTGACAAAAGTTTCTTTTAACTCCCCACAAAGCAAGAAAAAGATTTTTTTTTTTTTTGAGAGAACAGTTACCTGAAACAAATACAGAGAGATCTTCCTTATTATTCAAGTACATGACAAAGGTAAGTAATTTTGATTACTTTTCAAACCTCAATGAGTAGTTGTTATAGATAATCACAGATTTGTAGTAAACCGCATCAACCTTAAAGGGGTCCGTATGTATTTTCATCTAGTTCTTCGAGGGTTTGAGTGGGTATTCATGATGCTCTTGTAATTCGGGAAAGGAGTTGAAAGGTCCTCAAACACCGAAATGTTGCTAGAAGGTGACTGCTATTATGTGCATTGACAAGGAGAGTATGGTCATCACTAGAGAAAGAATAATGTATAGAAGAAACTCTTACCAAGTAGCTCTAGCACAAACACATGGTAGAATGGAGGTTATTGACTGTGATTTAGATTAGCCCGTGGTTATTCTGTTGAGTTCTATAGTTGACCTGGCTTATTCTGACATTCGAAACCTTGGGAAGAAGGTGAGTCCAGCCCCCGAGACATTTTCAAGTTTGTCTCCATGCATTCAGAACATTACAACAATGGCTCTGACATTGCTTGGTTTTCAATTTGGTAACTGGATCCTTGAAGGAGAATGTAAATTTTCAACTATTATGGATCAACAAAGATACTTTATTGCAGCAACAACAAACCTAGGAATTGACCTGAAACTTCTTGAACTCCTTTGATATCTTGCAGACCCAGGTATTGTTGTACTTGAGTGTAACTCAATAGTTTAGAAGAGACTCGTAACTTTTTTGTTCCAACTATGGGATCCCGGAAGACAGGGTAAAATTGCGGCTTCAAATGAGCTCTTTTTGTAAGCCCATTTCGTGATTGCTGAATATGAAGCTTTTCCAAATTTATATTGTGGGATGGAGGCTCTGATGTTTGTTCAATCAATCGAAACTGGCTCGGCAAGCTTTCGATAGTGGGATCCAGGAGAAAGAGTGTGGTTTTTGCCTACTATACAAGGAATACTTTTGTGGGGCTAGAAATTTGTACTCAGAAGTCAATGTCAGTACCTCAGCCTTGGGGACAAGGCCATTCTTCAAGGGGCCTTACGACACAGATGACCCGACTATGCAAACACATTCTACTAGGCCCAGCTTCTTGAAGGGCTGCAGAAGGAGAGTTAGTGATAATATTATCCCTGATTCTAGGAGAATTGGTTATTTGAGGGAAGGAGCCTAGGTGAGAGAGGCATGGAGAATAATGTTTAGAATTTGTTAGGAGATTCCCTCTCTGGTAGGAGCATAGTTCTATGGTTAGGAGATTTAAAAACTCTTGTTTATCCTTTCTTTATCATTTTCCTGCAATGTAAAGCTCTTGAGTCATCTTTACATTTAACAATACAGTTTCGTTACCTTGATTTTATGGGTCCTATCAACATGTCAAATAATGAGTGTCTATCTATTGCCTATGTTTGGGCAAGCTGAAGTTAGAATTACCTGTAAGAATATACAATGTCAATTTTTAAAAGCCTACTAATTCACAGGTCTGATTCATCTTATTTGTTCATCATACTTTGAATAGCAACACTCACTATAACATTCTTTCAAATGCTCACTCTCTTATTAAATGAAATTCATGTGGGGTCTCACCATATTGGAAATGGATCCCACTTAACATAGTGTGACCCACAAAATTGTTTCCCAATATGAGAGTGTGTAATGAAAAGAGTGTTATAGTGAGTGTTACTAGCACCGGCATTGCACTTGAATTATATGCTAGCCAAACTGAATTTACTTGTGTAAGTTGATCCCTTCAAGTAATGGTGTTGGTAAACCCAAATATCCTTCCTTCTTGTTTGCATGTCATTTGCAATGGTCATTGCTAACATGTACAAGTGAGGCATGTGGTGCATGGTACACAAGTAGTTTTAACCTTTGGATTTATTTATCTACACACCCATATGGTGAACACTCGAGACATTATTTATTCCTCACTTCAAAGGTTTTTCTTAAATAAAAATGAAAATACAATGTTTCCTTTATTGGAGAGTGGGATGAGGTTGTGAATATGTGACATTATGTGTTTGATGGAAGAGTTCTAGTAACCGGCAATGTTCTGAAGGAGAGTGAAAATAAGAGAGAAATAAAAAAAATCCAAAAGCTGAAATTACTTGTGCACCATGCACCACATGTCTCACTTGTTAAATAATCTGTGTTTTTATGTACACCTTTTATTTCCTTTTCTTTCCCTCTCCTTACCTTTCTCTCCTTTGTGGAATAATACCACATACCCAGCTTGTTGATGCGTGAGGACTATCTGTTTATCAGTGTTGACATTGTTTCAGTACCCCAGAAAAAGTGTTATTTCTTTTCTTTTCTCCTAACAAGCAGTTTCTTATGCAGGTATCACTCCCTTTGTGCATATAATGGCGATGATGACTTGTTCAGCTCTGACTTGAGTGACGATCAATTGAAAATTAGACTTGGGCACATGTCTAGCACACATTGCCAGGTGTGCATATGTCCATGTAACATAATTATTGTTATGTTTTTTTCCTATGAAACTTTTGGCCATGAAAAACCTTGGCTAGGTGCAGAAATTTCCTTTCTTTTTATCCTCTATGTAGTAGGTGTACAATAATGACTAGCTTTTGTCATATTGGTATGCCATGGTTTTTTTGGCAGGTCATATTTTCAATGGCTGATGAGTATGTGCCAGATTATGTTGATAAGAAAGCACTAGTTGAGCGGTAAAATCTCTATTCTCATCCGGTGCTTTTTGTTATGCAATAACCGCAGTTAAAGATGAGTGAACTATATGATGGTCATTCATTGTATATACACTTTGAATACGTGCAGATTATGCAGAGCAATGGGAGGTGCGGAGAAAGTAGAGATTGAATATGGAAACCACTCCCTTTCCAACAGAGTTGAAGAAGCTGTCGATGCTATTATTGACTTTTTGAAAAGAGAGGGACCTAAGGGCTGGGATGACCCGTGGAATTAATTAATATAGGTGCATCTATCAATTTTCTTCTTTTTTTTGGTTGCGGCTTCCTTTAGGCAATATTTTCAATCTTTCATTTTTATCTCGTTTTTTTTTTCATTGGTTGGGTTGTTATTGCAGCCTTATTTTTTGTTAATATAATAATAGATGGTAGTATACATGGTGGCATTAAGGAGAAAATTGTATATTTTTTTAATTAATTTATATCATGACCGTAGCATTCGTCTAGCACATGTATGGTCATGAAACTGGATCCTCTCGTGGTGTTTTGTTCCTTTCTCACATGCAGCAGTCAGTCTCCAGCAAACTGGAAAAGAGAGTGACAAAGAGACAATAATGAGAGAGAAAAGCATTTTATAGAAAGTCACATGAATTCTAACTCTCTAGGTGATTCATTCACATAAAATTAAAAAAAAAAAAATACTGTAGAGCATAAAGCTGCACCTATTCTTTTTCATTATCTCACAAGAACAAACGTGTCACTCCAGGACCCACTAATTCATTTCGGGGTGCGGGGTGAGTTATGGAATTAAGTAGTTTCTGTTCTCTCCCCATCACATTTGTGTGAGATCAAACCGTAGTCTTTCAAAAAATTTAATTGGTATGCATTGATAGTGTAAAATAATTTTACACTATCAATCGACAAGAATTCATCAACCTGTCAAATCATATTATTATTTTAAAATTTACAATCTGATGTGATGGGATATATGATAATGATTAGTTGACAGTTTAAAATTATTTTACACTCGTAAATGTCCTTCTTTTTAGAATTGTCTTGTATGATGTCAAAACTAGGGTACTTAAACCTTTATATATATTGGATGATATCTTTAAGGGTGTGTTTGGTTCGGGGTAGATGGAGGGGAGGGGAGGGGAAATTTTTAATTAAATATGTTTGGTTCAAATTTTAGGAGGGGAGGGGAGGGGAGGGGAGGGGAGCAAAATCCCTCCAAAACACACTTTTTGGTTCCCTCCGAATTGGGGGGATTTGGAGGGAAGGGGAGGGAATATGAGTTTTAATATTTAAAATTTATTATATTTACTAAAATATCCTCAGTTTAATTTTATTATTTCAAAACTATTTGTTATCTTTTGTGTTACTGTTTTTTCTCGATTGTTTTCATCAACTTATTATAATTGTTCTCCACCTTCAAATTATTTTATAATTTTTATAATTAATATAAATCATAATCATTGTCTTTTTTTTATAAAAAAATTATGTTTCATTATATTCGTTTTTTTCTTTTAATTTTGTTATGTACTCTATCATATTTTCTTTTATATTAAATTGTAAACCATATCATTTTATTTATTTTTGTTTATTCATTTTATTAAATATTTTGAACCATTAATATTTAGTAATAAGTTATTTTATATATTTGTTTTGTTATATGATTCATCATAATTTAAACGATGTTATTGGCATATAGTTTAATTTATGTTGGAAAGTTATAAGTTGAATCAATTATACTCAATTTTTTAACTTTATGTGACAAATAAATATTTTTTTAATCACTCAATATTAGAAATTTTATTACCAACAAAAATACGCATGAATTTTTTACATTTTAATATCGTATGACTTATATAAGATCATAAGGATAAAAATGTAAATTATTAGTAAAACCCCTCCCCTCCCCTTCTGAACCAAACACATTTTTAATTAAAATCCCTCCCCTCCCCTTCTCTCTTTTGAACCAAACACTTATTTGATTAAAAAATTCCTTCACCTCCCCTCCCCTCCCCTCCCCTTCATTAAAATCCCTCCCCTTCATTTGAACCAAACAGACCCTAATATTCATCTTAACATTAGAAAGCATAATCACATTTTAGAAATAGTTTAAAAAAGATTTAGAAAAATTTTCATGTATTAAAAACTAATTTTTATATGAAAATCAGGTATATGTATAGAAAAAAAATTTCCGTATGTATTGATACATACGAGTTACAGGTTGACATATGTTAGTCATTTTTAAATCCTGTAGCTTCTGTTTGATGTGCCGCCTATACAGGTTGAGACATGCATCGAATAGGTCGACAAATACATTAAAAATCTTTAAAAAGTGCATTATTTTCTAAAACTCTTACATTCCCTTTTCCTTCTATCTTACACACACACACACATATGTGTGTGTGTGTGTGTGTGTGTGTGTGTGTGTGTGTGTGTGTGTGTGTGTGTGTGTGTGTGTGTGTGTGTGTGTGTGTGTGTGTGTGTGTGTGTGTGTGTGTGTGTGTGTGTGTGTGTGTGTGTGTGTGTGTGTGTGTGTGTGTGTGTGTGTGTGTGTGTGTGTGTGTGTGTGTGTGTGTGTGTGTGTGTGTGTGTGTGTGTGTGTGTGTGTGTGTGTGTGTGTGTGTGTGTGTGTGTGTGTGTGTGTGTGTGTGTGTGTGTGTGTGTGTGTGTGTGTGTGTGTGTGTGTGTGTGTGTGTGTGTGTGTGTGTGTGTGTGTGTGTGTGTGTGTGTGTGTGTGTGTGTGTGTGTGTGTGTGTGTGTGTGTGTGTGTGTGTGTGTGTGTGTGTGTGTGTGTGTGTGTGTGTGTGTGTGTGTGTGTGTGTGTGTGTGTGTGTGTGTGTGTGTGTGTGTGTGTGTGTGTGTGTGTGTGTGTGTGTGTGTGTGTGTGTGTGTGTGTGTGTGTGTGTGTGTGTGTGTGTGTGTGTGTGTGTGTGTGTGTGTGTGTGTGTGTGTGTGTGTGTGTGTGTGTGTGTGTGTGTGTGTGTGTGTGTGTGTGTGTGTGTGTGTGTGTGTGTGTGTGTGTGTGTGTGTGTGTGTGTGTGTGTGTGTGTGTGTGTGTGTGTGTGTGTGTGTGTGTGTGTGTGTGTGTGTGTGTGTGTGTGTGTGTGTGTGTGTGTGTGTGTGTGTGTGTGTGTGTGTGTGTGTGTGTGTGTGTGTGTGTGTGTGTGTGTGTGTGTGTGTGTGTGTGTGTGTGTGTGTGTGTGTGTGCGCGTGCGTGCGTGCGTGCGCGCGCGCGCGCGTGTCTGTGTCTGTGTCATTTTTTCATTCTAGTGGTTGGTGAAAAACCATATAGGAAACTAGGGAGATCAAAGAGTTTTCATTATCTTCAACCTACATTCTATGCATACACATAAACAAATTACATATAATTTTATTTTTTATTTGGGTGTCATTTAGAATTAGTGTTGATAATGTCAAATTTAGGTTGTTGAATTGTAAATTGGGTTGAGAATGTTAGAGAGTTTCAAATAATAAAACCATGTTGGAGTTTTCCTTCAAGATTAATTGAGAATTTGAAGGTTTTGGACCAAATTACGCAATTTGGATTCCATTGAGTGAAAGCTTTGAAGAACTGTGGTTTCTTGCAAATGAGTAGTGCGAGACGGTGAATCAAATTGGTAAATCTTAGGTGACAACAATTCGCAATTTGGATTCGATCGAGTGAAAGTTTTAAAGAAAGAGGTTTCTTGCAAAGGAGTAGCGTGAGACGGTAAATCAAATCGTTATTGTTTGGTGACTTGATCAAGCTCAGATTAAGGGAAGATAAATTGTTAGAATCAGCATCAAACATAGGGTTTGTGAGGTTGCATTACTGCATTTCTCTTGTAAACTACTTTTTTAAATTAAGGTTAATTTTCATTATCTTAATTTGAATTCGAATTGAGGATAGACGTACCCATAGCAAGGTCGATTGAGGAACTGTCTAAACAAATTCTTGTGTACTCCCTCCTTTAATTGTGCGATCAATACGTTTGGTTAAACTATTTGATAACCTTTTGAGAAAGGTTTTGTTGAGTTGATCACAATCTATTAGATTGTGGTTGGATTTGCAAGTCAACAAAATCATACAAAATTCTAAACGAAATTGATTGCACACAAGGTGTTTACTAATTTGCCTCAATTGTGTTTTTGTGTATTTTGTCATTGAAAGTAGACTTTACTTTTGTATAACATTCAAGTGATTATTGTTAAAGGCATATTGATTTACGTTCTAGTTCACTTCCGTTATCCGTTAAATTTTTCAAAACAGTTTTTTAGTAAAGTGTTTTTACTTGGGATCTATTCACCCCCTCTAGATAAGTCGCTTCCGTCTAACAAGTGGTATCACGAGCTTCGTTTAACTTCGTGCTTCAATATTTGCTTATTATAAAATGGCTACCAAACCTAAAGGGGCGTACAATAGAGCTTTCATCTTTACTAGTGAAAAATATGGCTATTAGAAAGCTTGTATGAGTATCCATTCAACATCATCATTAATGGTCCTAATCAAATCACAATGACCAATGGTGAATGTGTTGTCATGCCAAAACCGGAAGCACAGTGGAATGATAATGATAAGAAATTGTGGTCACATGATCAGAAGGCACAAAATATTCTCATATCTGCACTTAGTGTTAATGAATATTATCATGTCTCCTATTGTGAATGCGGAAGCTATGTGGAACACATTAGAAGTTACCCATGAGGGAACTAATGAAGTCAAACAAGTTAGAATCAATACCTTAAATCAAGAGTTTGAACTATTTCAGAAGAAGCATGGTGAAATCATTGCCGACATGTAAAAGAGGTTAACACATCTTATAAATTGTTTAAATGCTCTAGGTAAGCCTATTTCCAATGATATTGCCACTAATAAAGTTTTGAGGTGTCTTAATAGGGAATGACAACCTAAGGTCACCGCAATCAAAGAAGCGAATGATCTTAAAATATTTGATCTCACAACTTTATTTGCAAGCTAGAAGAACATGAACAAGAGCTCACTTGCTTGGAAAAACATGAGAATGAGCATGAAAGGAAGATAAAGAAGAAGAAAGGTAAGGACACCGAGGTAGAAGAGAAGTTTATTGCTCTAAGGCTTTAAATTCAAAGTCCTCAACCAATGAGCAAAGTGATTGTGAAACAAGTGATAACGAGAATTCAAATGATGAAGATATAAGACTTTTTGTGAAAAAGTACAATAGGTACATCAAAAGAAATGATGTAAAGTACTCCGACAAAAACCTCATCAAATTTAGAAGACAATCAAACTTCTCAAAGTAAGATGATA